AGCTGCATGGACCACATCCAAACCGTTTCGAGGGTCATAGAAGTCTGCCGAGAGTACCGACTGCCTCTCGTCTTAACCTTTGTCGACTACGAGAAAGCCTTTGACAGCGTCGAAACCAACGCCATCCTGTCTGGAGTCGGTCAAGGAGTGGACCCAGCTTACGTGAGGATGTTAGCCGACTGCTACAAGGACTGTACAACGACGATGCACCTATTCCTCGCCCCCTGACCATACCAATAAGGAAGGGGGTCCGACAAGGCGACACAATCTCGCCGAAGCTGTTCACCGCGGCCTTGCAGTGGGTGATGAAGTCACTGGACTGGGACGAAAGAGGCATACGAGTTGATGGGAGATTCATATCCAACCTTCGTTTTGCGGACGACATCGTTCTCTTCTCGAGCAGTGTCACCGAAGCAGAGACGATGCTGAAGGAACTAAACAAAGTGGGGAAGAAGATCGGATTGCGAGTAAATCGGAAGAAGACTCAATTCATGAAGAACGCCATTTGCGAAGATGCAGAAATGGAATTGGAAGGCACCCCTATTATGGAGACGTCTTCTTACGTGTATCTCGGACGTTTGATGAACATGGAGAACGACCTTGAGGGAGAACTTAACAGGAGAAGAAGAGCAGCCTGGACCGCCTTCGCCTCTGAAGGAAGCCACTGACCAATTGACGGACCTGGAGCTTCGTGTCCACCCGTTCGACTCAACCGTACTCCCGGCGCTCTGTTACGCAGCTGAGACTTGGGCCGACACTGTAGCCACGTCGAAAGCTTTACGGGCCATCCACAGAGCGCTCGAGCGCAGTCTTCTGAAGATGACCCGACGCAAGCAACATCTAGTCGGACTTCGCAGCACGGATATGAGAAGAATGTCCCGTCTTCGTGACCCAGCGGAATACGTTGCGAAAGCCAAACACCGATGGGCCGGTCACATAATGAGAAGAACAGACGACAGATGGACCTAAGAACATCTGAGTGGATTCCTCGCGAAGCCAAACGTCCTCGAAAAAGACCACCGACCGAGTGGGCAGACGTGTTCGTGGAACAGCTGAGAAATCAGCTGGATACGACTTTCGCCCCTGGAACTCGTGGACGCAGCCACCGACGACGGCCAAGAAGATCGTGGATTTCTGAAGCGAGGGACGGGGAAAAATGGCAACTTCTGTACTGATGCCCGCACGTCACGTGAGGACGGGCCATCTGAATATCTGAGAGTTTGAAGATGACACTTCTTCACAGTGCACAGACTCTTGTTCATACCAAATTTGGACAACTGCATACAGTACTTCTCATAGAACATTCAGTGGCAAATGGAAAACTAAGTGACAGAAGGCCATCTTCGAATCAGTCTTCTAAAATTACAATCGGATTAGTCTGCTACCAAGGCGCCACCAGCTGGGCCGCCATAATCGTCACCAGAGTTGTTCCCATAGATATTATCAACGTGGCTGCATTTCGCCATTCTAACATGTCAACTACGAATAAGCGCCTTAAAGGAAGCGTTCGGCCAACATAAAAACAGAATACAGATTCGCCCGCCCTGATAAAGCTCTGCAGTGAGAAAACCGCTTTAGCTCTGCAGTGAGAAAACCGCTTTAGAAGTGGCGACCGGAACTGACCTGGACAAGCTAGAAGTTCGATAAGACAAACTCAGACATTCGCCTTTGACTCCCGCAGGACAAACGGGTGTTTTGATTTTGTTTCGGGTCAAAAGTGCGCGACAAAATCAGGTGTCCCGACCGACCCATTCCGGACAAAATCGAAATACCTGCGGAAGACACCATGATGTCGCATTCGGAGCTTGCGGCCTACGCTCTTAAAAACGGATTTCTGCGCCCTCTATGTCTTCTCACGCCTCTTCACTACCTTGTGCCCTTAGTCTCTTCGGGTCTCATTTCTCACGCCTGGTATTTTTATGCTCGCAAAAACAGTCAAATTTCAACAAATATACTAACAAATACCACAGTCTTCTCGAGCAGGCTTTCCAAGGAATCAAGAAATGCACAGAAAGTAGCAAATAAGATTCAGGAGCTCTACAGCGACACAAGGTTACGAGAAAAATACGCAAAAACTAAAACGTAGACAAAATCATCAAGCTTCCTAAATCTCTTCAAATTTATCTTCAACGCATTGTCTTCTCAATCACTGGTTCCTTAGTGATACCATTGCCTTCAATGACGACACACTTTTTCTGAAAGTCAAGAATTATTGGTACCAGTGATCATATAAAACAATGAATCACCTTTGATGGAATACGATCAAAATGGATAAAATCAGGATCAAAATGGTAAGTCCGGATCTGCGCTGCGAAAGTGCAAATCAAAAGTATCGCTTCTTCTAAAGGTGTGAGAAAACTCGTGCTCTCTCTATTGCTATTCTTGCACGACCGCTCCAAACCACTCCTGCCTAAGAGAGTTTGTTCAAAAATTTCTCGCGAGCGTCATCCTCTTCTTCTAAGGAAGTAAGTGTTCGGTATAAAAACTTTTCCACCTTTAAAAAGCCAACTCGAGGTATAACATGAACTTAACAATGTCGGAAATTTGCATCGCACATTCCATTTGCAAAGAACCTGCACTTACCTAGGGTGAAGCAATAATGATAAACCTGCCTTAGGGGTAACAGAGGAAATAAAAACGGAGCTTCCTTGGAAGTTGAGTTCAAAATGAAACTAGCGCTAAAGGAATTGCTGTGATAAAGCTCGGGATTTCGACAGCAATAAGAATGAACTCAGTAATTGGGAGGCCCGTTTTCAACATTCTCGTGCTCCCTATGCTGCATCTCAGCGGGAAGTATACGCCCAGATAAGCAAAAAAAGCTTTACTTGAGATTTTGTCCAAACGCTGCCTTTTTTGTGCTTAATTTGAAACGATCGAAAGGCAGCCACGTTGATGGTTCATATGGGAACAATTCTGGGGGATGCACGATACACAACTATCTAGCAGTGGCGGTCCCAGGATTCCCGTCCGGGGATCGGAGGCGCGGCAAAAGGCAATTTTTTGGCAGTGTTTTTCGCACCTTAGTTTTTCAAACTAAGGTGCGAAAAACACTGCTAAACAATTTTTGGGATGCTCCTTAAAATTTTTTCCGGTCATGACCCCTAAAATCTAGAAAAAGGGGCGTGATGTCAGCTACGCCCAAAAAATTTTCTACAGGGCTTATTTGAATTTTCAAAATTATTTTAATTATTTACAAGTGTAAACCAAGTCACTTGCACATTTTTATAGCCCATGCCGACCTGTAGAACATGTTGATGATGTTCAACAACGTGTTCTACAGGTCGGCTAGGTGGCTTTCGCACCTCCCGGTTGAGACCACTAGTGCAGAGAGTAGTCATGTTTTCAGGAGTAGACTGAGAAGGCTTGACTTGTCAAGTATCGCTAACACTGATTAGTGTTGCACGACAGGGCGAGCCTTCTGCATTAGACCTTTTGGGCTTCCACTGGGTGCTTTGGACGTGCTATGATGGGGGGATGGAATCGTTTTGGGCTTTGTTTTCTATCAGCTTTTTTCTCCATTTTACCTCTAAAACCTGTCTTTTCAGGTACTCGTTGATCTTGCATTCACTTGCGGGTTCAGTTATGGCTGTAAATCATTTCTTTGACGCCTCTCGTGTATCTCCTCACGTTGCGTCAAACTTGTATTTTCGGTGTACTCGTTGTGTTCTAGTTACTAACACAGTTTCATCAGCATCTTAATCCGAGTCTTTTTCGCTCAGCTATCTAGTATTCAATCGTACAGCTTGCTATTTCAACAAATGGATTGAATATGAATCGTTTCACCTTTGGGGTCATTGGGCCTCCCCAGCATTCCAGCTAGGTTGGGTTATGGTTGTTATACCTGAGCCAGTAGGCCTACCTTATAAGCTGCCGGATTGCTTTTAAGAGTAACTAAAGATCGTTCCGCTGGCAACGAGGGGGCATGCGTCCCATCTCCATGGATTCAAAGTTTTGGAGTTATAAATCTCAATGCCTACATCTGTATACTTATCTATTAGCCTATCAACATATTCAGTGCAAGCTGTTTCGTCTTCTCACATTAGTCTGGTTAGGATCAGACTCGGACTGACATGTTGATGTCTGCATTTGTTTACATGTTTTGTTCGTTTCCGCTGTATTACTAACTTCTTGATGTGTCTTTTTTTATGGAACGCCTTGAGTGTACAAATGAAATGAAATGAAATGAAATGTAAATAACTTTCAAAGATTTCGCGACCCATTCTCCCGAAGGGGGCGCCCCCTCCCCCTTCGGACCGCGCTCGGACCGCCACTGCTATTAGGTATTACCATAGGATGAGCAAAATCTCACTCGCTTTCTTGAAAGCTTGGGTTATGCGCTCCCCACTTGAGACGGCAAAAATTTTTTTCGTAAAGAATAGTGTCATGAAATCGAGTAGATTCGGGTTGGGAATGGTCAATGTTGGGTGCGAAACTGTGAAGGCGCTCGAGAATAACGATTTTGTGCTGTGTTGATGCAATAAAGAAGGAGAAAGGTGGGAGTTTTGTTGTGAACAATTATCTGGAGTACGTAGCTGCTAACAAGTTCCAATAAAACTTAAGGGTAAGTCATGTAATTAGTAGTCTAGAAGAAGAACTGAACAGCGAACAGCATAAACCACTTTGGCTCGTAAGAGTCACTCACTTATTGCAAAAGGCTGTCTAGATTGCGCGGTTACTATGATCCGTATTGATACTAAACCGAAGATGGTTGATTTTGCAGGCTGGAGGTATGACCACTTATATTCTTGTAAACAGCTCAAGGCGTTCAAGGTTCTCTACCTAAGCCCACTTTGTTGAGCAGGTTTCTTCAAGAGCTGTACTAACCAACCATCGTAGAGCCTCTAATTCATACAAATTGTCTAACAACGAGGTGTACAAAAGCACATCAGGTGATGAACATCTGCTCCAGTCATGTGAAATGCAATATGATTCACTTGATAATCACTACTGACTCATAACTTAGTAAGCGCACTGTGCTTCGATCACACGACCACAGCGAATGAAGAATCAAAAATTTTATTTGTTACATAGGAAAGAAAAACATCAACACACATATCATGCAAAGAATAATATTTTTTTCTAGGATAAAGAAAAACACTTCTGACAAAAATAATTGGAATCCCCGAATAGTTACATCCCGGACAAGAACAGACGACAGCTCAACCTAGAACCAGGAGGTGTGAAGTCATTGCGAGTTTGATTGATGATCGCTGAAAAGGGATGAGATGATCCTTTACAATAACATCGGTATGCTGAATACGGCAAACTTAGTAGAAACTATGTTCAAAGCCTTTGTCGGGCGCACCTTACTTGTTCAAAGTCTGCTCTCGCCTCTTCGCCTCCCCATTTTGAGCAATTTGTACAACTTTTCTAGTGTCGCCGCCAGGGTTGCTGTGTTTGTGCTCAACACGCTCTGCTTTTGATCGTTTTCCAGACGAACCAGTGATTTCCTAAGCAAGAAAACTTTACTTAGAACCGCAAAAATTTTGAGACAATCTTCCAAATGCTAGTAGGAAAGTTCCACCTTGAGACATTTCACACAGAACTATATCAAAAATTCCACATAGTTCCTTAGCCATCATTAGAAATCCTACATTGTCTATTTATTTTCGGAGGAACACTGAAAGACTCCAATTCTTAACCCTAATCCAATCCTTTTGACCTGCTTTGACCAGTGGATGCAAGGAGATTTGGGTGAAAGACTAGAAGACAATGTTTTCGAATCAGAAAAGACCTCAGATGGAGCATAACGTTTTCTCCGCTCTCCGAATGAATATTCAAAAAGAAAGATAAAATTTTTCCTAAATGGTTTATAGAAGCTTATTCAAGCAACGAACACAGATGATGTGAGCCTTGCTGCCACGAGTTTCTTTGAATTGAGAACTTTCATTATTCATTACAAAAGCAGCGAAGCAGAACATATGACATCGACTTGGCTTAGAGAATGTCAAAACATACCGGTCCTCCATCCTGCTCGTATTCAGCCGCCAGCTTCTCAGCGGAACTCATTTTGGAAAATTTTGTGGATCTAAAGCATAGAAGTATTGATTTATGATCAAAAATGAAAAGTGGCAAACTGTAGCGTAAATGTGAACAGTGCTGACAATGAAAGAAATCAGAGCGTTTCAAATGAGCGAGCAGATTCAAGATGGAGTGATCGGGCATCGAGACAAGAACAGAGAACAGACCAAACCATATTGGAAGAAACAACATTCGACCGAAGTTTTGCCAAATTCGTAGAATCACTCTTGCGAGACAGAATCATGCCGGCAGTGTCGATTCAGCAACGATAAATCGGTGACGGCGTCGATGCACGACAGATTGCACAACCATCTCGCAGCAAAGTGCGGGCTCGAAATGGTTGCTATCAAAATAGAATCGGGGCTAGAGAACGTATCGATTTGATAGCTCCGCCTTATTCGGAAGGGCGGGAGAACGCAAACTTTTGTTCTTTTTGTTTTTGTAAATGGTTTTCTAGAAAATCCATTTCACTTGATCTTCTGAAGTATTATATGAGGCGAGGAAAGCTTGTGTACGCAGTGAATAGGACAAGCGAAGTCCTGAAGGGTTTTGCTCAAGGGTAGCAGGGAACACGACTACAACTGCAGCATGAGGATACGCAGGTGGAAAGAAAAACTAGTAACCATTTTCTTTCGAATCTGATTACACATAGAAAAAGAAATCGTTGTCTTTTTTAGTAGCAGACATTCTATCCTTGGTGGACAGGGTGTTCTGATAACGTCAAACAAGACATTAATCTCTCGATGGTGTCTTATTCGGCAAGATGAGAACAAATCAAATTTTGCCTTAGCATGAATGTTTTGTTGTTTTGCGAAACAGTGAATCATGGAATGAGTGATTTAAGAAAAAGAGGAGGGCAGATTTCCTAAGAGACAATAGAACGAAAAAATTCTAAAGGGCAACAAACGCCATGCAGCCTCTGCCAGCCACTGCCACCTACTGCCAGCCAGCTTCCCATTCTCGCTACCTTATTGATCGATGAAGCTGCAGGCAAAGCTATAATAAGGCAGTTGTTTTACCGAAACCCTATATAGACAACCAATGAACGCCTAGTGAACATAGAATCGAAATGCATGGGAGTCGCAACCATCTCAAGGTCGACCGTTTAACAAACAGATGTTGCACGTGCCCTCTCACACTCACGTGTTTGTTAGCGCGGCACTAAGTTTTTGTTTGCTGTTGTGGTGTAAACAACCATCTGTCAGACTACATGTAGAACCTGCTTTATCGCTTATTTGACGGTTTGTTTACATCTTCCAGACTTTTATGGACTTTCATCAAAGGGTATTTTCAAAATCATTCCAAACAGTAATAATAGTGATGCCCATAACTGTCCCCCTGCATATTAACAAAATCTTGTTTTTTTCTGTGAGGCTTTTCCCTTAAATTCCACCCAACTCTAAAGATTTTCAGCTGCTGCACTATGAAAATTGATCACTGTTTCAGGGGAGACGGTCTTTTCGCACGGGCTGTCTCCAGAGTCTCCCTGATTTTGACCTGTCTTAACATGTTATGCACGCCGCAAATCTTTCCTTCCCCTGTTTTGCTTAGGCAAAAGCCGCCGCAGGGTGTGTCGCGCGCGGCGGTGGTCCTGTGTGGAAAGCATTACGATTGTGCGAATCGTCCTACACCCCTGTTTCAGTAGTCAAGCTCGGAGTGCGTTTCAACGCGTTCTCGTAACTTACTATTCGAATGAAAGAACATGTTCAAACTCGCGCTTTCTAACGAGCTCGAACACGTTCTCTCACGAATTCCTAATAGTGATATAAAACGCGTTAAAGCACATTCTTGACCTTATTAATCAGGCGTACGCAAAGCGTGTTCGTGTCTCTTAGTCGGAGAATGAACAATATTTAAAGGCTACTGTATGACGAAGGCGCAGATGCAGTATTAGTTAAGCGGGCGCGTATCTTCACCGCTGTACCTAAATCCTGCGAATCATGCGCTCTGCAGCTAGTGAAGTCGCGTTCGCGCCCAAAGATATTGCGCCTTCGTCATGCAGCGCTTGCAGAATGAGTTCTCGCTACTTACCGCGCAAATATAGAAATTCATCTACTTTAGGCCCCGGACAGACTTCACGCGATTTGATCGTCGCAACTCAGTCGCCGACATTTCCATTCACTTTCATTTCACATTCAAAAATTTGGGGCTGGAAAAGTATCACAACCGAATGCAAGTTGATCGGCATGGAATGATTTTGTAACAGTTGTCTCCTCGCGATTCAGTCGCGACGATCAAATCGCGTGAAGTCTGCCCGGGGCCTTGGAGTCACAGCTAATTATCTGGCAATGGAAGTATAATCATTTCATCCTCTTTTTTCGAAACAGGTACCTCCACTCAAAAAGATGGTTATGTAAGTTACTGATCGACCAAGAGGGCATTTGACTCAAATGGCCTTATTCAGCGAGTGGTATGAGTTTGAAGAAGGCTGCAAAGATGATAGATAGCAGTACGATGAGCATTCAAAGGCAGTCATTTTTATAGATGCTCTTGGATCACTTCGGTAAATGTCATCCCCTGTCAGCATCTACAAAAGGAGACATGCGCACATCCATGGATTGTTGAGAAAAGCGCAACAAGGACATCCTGCGGAGAGATAGCGACACCGATAAGGCAAGGGGTGACTCTGATTTTCACACAGCTGGCGGGCAAGTGCAGAACAGTAGAACTACCTTCCCACTACTTCGAGTACTGAGACTCTATAAAACCTTGTGTTTACAAGCTTGACCGAAAAGTTACATCCAGAGCTATGTTAACTGAAAAAAGATATGGCCTTGGAAACTGAGACAACACTGTAGAAACTGTACATAATAAGAAAGAAAAATTCAATCAGTATCGGCACTTAATCATTACATCACACTTAATAAAACACATCACTTAAACATGTTCACTAACACATTTCATGAAAGCACTTGTAGATATACAGATCACACTATCTCCACCTGGAAGAACAACTGGCCTTGAATTGTCGACAAAAAACTTTCTGAACATAGATAATCTTTGTGATGCAATTGACAATACAAAAGCACACCGCTTTTTGACAATCCCGATAATACAAAGGTTTTTGATCTGATATTACAATAACATTATTCCGCGTGGTAAAAGCGATAATCTGCATACACAAAGATTCGCAAAATATACACAATACTAAACAAGAATTGAGAAGGTCTGTGCATGAGCATGAACCTACACGCAATACCGAACGTGAAACTAAGACTGCGAGTCAGTGCCATAGGTTCATGCTATATTGTTCGCTATCCAATCTAAGGCCGTGTTTAGACCTTCACCTTTGATCGCTGAACAGCCATGTATCTGCCACTTTCTCGTTTTCAGAGTCAGCAACCCGAGGTCACTGGAAATTTCAGCTGCTGATCTCGCATTTGGCATATCTTGTTTATTTGCTAACACTAGCAAAGAAGCTTTCGCAAGATCCTAAAAAGTAAACGTGCAATCCCTGTATTCAGTAAAATAGGTCAAGCTCACCTCATGCGCTAGCATATCATACATGAGCTGTTTGATGAGAGGTAACCTAGCCGCATCAGTGCTATCGATCACAACGACCATCACATTCGTGTGCGTATAGTAAGAGGACCACGAATTTCTCAAACTTTCTTGACCCCCAATATCCCACATGACCAATCGCAGATTGTGGTAGGTCACCTCTTCAACGTTGCTGCCGATGGTTGGTTTCGTGTCGACAACATCGCCAGTAACCCTTGATAAATAGTATGCAAATGAAGCTGATTGGTGAATGAAGGTTGACTTCGATAGCATAATTCTTGGTGACGCAATTACAATGCATTATTTGCAAATGCTATGTAAGCTGGCAAGCGTGTGACTGGCAGCGTCTGGGCAGATTCGCTAGATTTCGACAGGTTACAAGAGCAGCGAAACGCCAACTAATACTTGTCCAAGTGCGACTGCAGTATATTCCTTTCTAAAGCAAAATGGCTCAAACTCAGACCAGGCATTTCTCACAAGGTAGGATCACAAAGTTGAAGTGGCGGATCATTACAATGCCATTACCATTCGTGAAAGCATGGATGTTCGAAACCTGCTCTCCGCATCTGTAGAACCCCTATGGAAGATAAGTTGTGATCATTTTTCGAAGCTCAAGGACAAATAATGCCCAGAACAAAATCGATCGTCAACATTTCTAGACGTCAAAGGGGGTATGAAATTACTGATGTATTAGGCAGAAGGATTTATTGAATGAAGTATCCTGACATTTGCTACTGCTTCTTCAAGGTCTAGTGGGGCTGCAGCAACTGATTTTGCCTCGGCCATTAGTTTATCGACTCCAAAAAATACCCACAAAGCGCTCTGTGAATAGAGAGCCAGCGCTCCAAGCTCTCACTAATGGTATGCTGCTGCGGTGACCAGCCACTTTGACTTCGTAACCCTCCTTTGTCCGAGTAAGACGAGATATGGACGCTACCTTCAAAAGGCGGTTTTTCCCTTACAACCTATAACGTTTTCCCTTCACCATTCCTCACAAAGAAATACTGTTTAGCGCAGCCATGGGTGTAGAACTATGCGGTTCAAGCAGAGTTTCAACGGCTACAGCGGGGTTTACAGAGACCCATAATATTAACAGAAATGCTGCTATGGGAAATAGATCCTAATTAGGGTCGACTTCAGCTTGCAGCTTATATCCGGGAGCAATTCTAATAGTCCAGTAGGCAGTTCGATCACTACGGCACTTCTCGTACTGATCTCTAATGGCCACCTCGTTCGCGTCTATCTTAGCGAGCAAACCATCGTCCTTTCCAGTTTGCTAAGGTAGGTGCCAGAGTAAGCGAATATTTGCGCTGCTTAATGTCTAGGCCTGCTTCAGCTGCAGGTTGCAGAATTAGCGTTGATTCTGCGCCTTTTGCAGCTGAACGAAGCTAAACAAAATACTCGCTTACTCTGGCACCTACCTAATGCAGATGCTATGACAACAGTGCATGAGCACCTGCCAGGTAGGCAGAGTCTAGGCAGTACCGGGATTCAGGATATTTCGCTGCGCAAAAGTAAACATCCTGACTACTACATCGTTCGGAGGCCGCATACAGAACCGGAAGCGAGAGAAATGGTCAGCATAGGTGCGAAGGGTTGAGAAAAATCTCACTCCCCCTTCACTTTGGAGCCTGGGCTACCCCCCCCCCTTCACTTTGGATGGAGAAAGAAAATTTTTTGAGGTGAGATGATAGTGTGCTTGAAGTGGAGTACAATTTAAGGTAAAAGAATTTATTTACAGAGTGTAGGAAATGAGAATGCGGAAGGAAGCAAAAATCGGGACCGGACCCCCCTCACTAGGACGAAGCAGGTGCTAAGGTGAGTTAGTTAGATTAAAGTTGAGATATCGGAGCTGAAAAATCCAATTTTAGGCATTCCATGAGACGAGCAGTATTGAGTCGATATGGGAGGGCGCATGGTCGTGAAACGAATGGCTGGAGTGGTGCCTACACGTGGGCTTGTACGAGACTCAGAAAAAGACATTTTGTGGTTATAATGTGGATATAAATTAAATAATTTGCCATCGTATTGTGTGTATAAGGATAAACAATAAATGGAATTGTTGTACACAATCGAATTTGTATATATTGAGTGAAGGCAGAGAACCAGGTTTTAGTTGCCAACTATACCCCCCCCCCCCCTTCGAGCCAAAAAATTTCCATATCTCGGTGGGGGGGGGGGGGGTCATCTCATGATCTAATTTTTTTTATCTTGTAAGGGAGGGTGTGCTTGAGATAACTAGGGCTGTCGCAAAAGAATCTGCTGAAGCAGAACTTCTGAAGCTTGAATTTTACGCACAAATTTGTGCGTCTTCAACTCGGTGCTGTTGCTCTCCTTTCTTAAAGCAGATCCTTTTGCGACAGCCCTAGTCATATCAAGTGGACCTCCCTCTACAAGATCGTGAAACAAATAGATCACGAGAGGACCTCCCCGCTGAGATATGAAGCGTCAAATTGAACCACCCAAAATCGATTTTTTTGCTATAACTCTTATGTCAATAAACAAAAGTAAACAAGGAGCTGGAATTAGAATCTACTCTTCAAGAGCTTTCGAATGATATATAATATGTGGGGGTTCCTTGTTTTTTTCGCCCTGCGACAGGGGTTGAGACGCTCCAGTTATGCGATCTCAGGTCTATCCCCCCCTTCTACATGCATTAAAGTGGGCGGGGTTGAGATCGCATAACTGGAGCGTCTCAACCCCTGTCGCAGGGCGAAAAAAAAACAAGGAACCCCCACATATTATATATCATTCGAAAGCTCTTGAAGGGTAGATTCTGATTCCAGCTCCTTGTTTACTTTTGTTTATTTACATAAGAGTTATAGCAAAAAAATCGATTTTGGGTGGTTCAATTTGACGCTTCATATCTCAGCGGGGAGGTCCTCTCGTGATCTACTTTTTTCACGATCTTGTAGAGGGAGGTCCACTTGATATAACTAGGGCTGTCGCAAAAGGATCTGCTTTAAGAAAGGAGAGCAAAAGCACCGAGTTGAAGACGCATAAATTTGTGCGTAAAATTCAAGCTTCAGAAGTTCTGCTTCAGCAGATTCTTTTGCGACAGCCCTAGTTATCTCAAGCACACCCTCCCTTACAAGATAAAAAAAATTAGATCATGAGATGACCTCCCCACCGAGATATGGAAATTTTTTGGCTCGAAGGGGGGGGGTATAGTTGGCAACTAAAACCTGGTTCTCTGCCTTCACTCAATATATACAAATTCGATTGTGTACAACAATTCCATTTATTGTTTATCCTAATAGACACAATACGATGGCAAATTATTTAATTTATATCCACATTATAACCACAAAATGTCTTTTTCTGAGTCTCGTACAAGCCCACGTGTAGGCACCACTCCAGCCATTCGTTTCACGACCATGCACCCTCCCATATCAACTCAATACTGCTCGTCTCATGGAATGCCTAAGATTGGATTTTTCAGCTCCGATATCTCAACTTTAATCTAACTAACTCTTAGCACCTGCTTCGTCCCAGTGAGGAGGGTCCGGTCCCGATTTTTGCTTCCATGATACATGATAATGAAATGATATTCATCAAAAAAGTACTCGGAAACATTTTACTATGTTAAAATGTATACAAATAAATTTAGAAAATTTAAAAGCAAGAAAATAGGAAAATTGTTACAATTAAAATTTGGAAAAAATAAAGTTAAAAAATTGAAAAAAAAATTTTTTCCAATTCCCCCCCCCGGTCGACGTCGGCAATTTTTGGACCCCCTTCACTTTTGAGGGTCAAAAACTCCTGAGACCCCCTTCACTTTGGAGGGTACCCATCTCAGGCCTTCGCACCTATGCGAGTGTGTATCAAAGATTTTGATGAAGACACTCCTCTTTGGACTTGACGCAGCTTTACGTTCGTCTACGTTCAGCGAAAATGAATGCAAGCTTTCTACCTCCGTCGCTCCGATGTATATTTTGGTAATCAGCGCAACAAATAAGGTCAGGTAAGGAGACAACCAGAAATGGGGATCTTGTTAGAGTCAGGGCCCGGCACGAGTCGGTTTCTAGCGTTTCTGAAAACGAAGTCTTCTATGACTTTCGGAAGTTTTACGAAGTCCTTTTTGACCTATTTGCTTAGGAGAAGATGAAAATAAGAAAGAGTTACTACTCTGAAAGATAAAACGTAAGATAAGAGTGAAAATCCAAATTGGAGCTGAGTACTACGCATGCACAAGAGTTTGGAATTGGAGCGCGATATTTTACAAAGCGATATATGAGAAAATGAAGGCAAAAAACAAAGGAAAGGCAATGATATGAAAATGTTTTCATGCTCAGGGGTAGATTTTTGACCGGGGAATCCGCCCATGATAGAAAAATCCAAAACTTATGTGAAGTGACAGAAATATATGCTCCAGACGATCTCAGATCGTCTGGTGGCCGTCTGGAGACGATCTAATTCTGGAAAACGTATTACTTCACATAAGTTTTTAAACCTTTTACATAATTCTTTTGCAAATAATTTTTAATGTATACAGTACAATTTTGGTATCATATGACTTTGTGTGCACTGCAAACAAGCAATTTGTTTATTTTAGCTTTGCTTTCAAATTGCGCGCACTTTTCGCCATACACGATAGAGCATGTCAATCGTGTGATAACCTGTCTGAAAAGCTTGTATTCGACTAAACGGCGCTTATTCTCGGTGCTGGGCCCCAAATCGTCAAAAACGATATCTCCTTTGCTTTTTGCTTCAAAAACGAAGTCCAGCCTGCTTTCAGACGATCTGTGCCGGGCCCTGGCTAGAGTCCCTATAATCTAATGGTCTCTCCTTTCAGAGCTTTTGAGGGAAGTCTGATAGGTGCCCGTCATTCAGCGTTTTAGGATGAAAGGACGACTTGCCCCAAAAAGAAAGCTTGGGTCCCGCAACTGTCAATATGCGAATGGTTTCTCTTCACTTGTGATTCAATTCGAAGAAAGATAGAAAAAAAAAACAAAATAAAAAGTAAAGAAACCAAGATAAGGACTATGCTTGAAAGCATCATACCAGTTGTATAGAATTGTAGTTTTCCCTGCATTGTCCAAACCAACAATTATGATCTTGTGGTCTGAAAACATATCGTGATTACCCTCCCCTTTGCTTTGCGCGTACATTTCACAAGAACTGTTACAGGCAAAGTGAGAAAAAGCCACATTTAAGTCAAACCTTTTCCGGACCATAATAACCGCCATAGTTTCGCCAATACTAGTCCCATCACTCAGCATACGTGACTTCCTCAACGATGAACAATGAACAGCGACATCGGGCGGGTATCTTCAACCTGGATCAGGTCAACCTCGCAGCATGACGGCTAATTTGTCCCGATTCCGCAAATGCGGCCACGCTATATTAGGCGTGCGATCAGGCAGGCGCCGCTAGAACCATCGATTCATTCTCGTCCTTACCAAGACATGAAAGTGTGGCGGACATGCTGCTGTATAGTCATTGATGCATCGCAAGGGGCAGGGGACTATATGTGGGGAACGGTCAGGAGGTACGATCGGCGCGAAATTTTCGCCGACGCCGCAACGTACGTCAGCCAATACAAAAGCAGTGCTCTTGGCTGGGAGACGGCCCTTCTAAACCCACCGTCCCCTACAGTAACTCAGACAATTGTTGCAGCGGCCCGCTCGCCCAACTCGGCTTTGGTGCTGAGCCGCGGCGCCTAAACGCCAGCGCTAAATGCACCAGGCCCAGTAGCGGCCCATACGTTCGAGCTGGCGACCCGCGCGCACTGTCAACCCACGCTGCGGGCGGCCCGCACACCCATGTTGAGATCCAAAAATTCAGCAGTGGCCCGCACACCCATACGGACGCCCACTTTCTTTACTAGCGACCCGCACACCCATATGGACGCCATCTCAGTCAAAAAAGCCTCAAATCCATCCCTGTAAGCTCGGATTTCCAGTTTTCCGTGAATTTTTCTTTTGCGAACTCTTATTAATCTTTATTTTAAGTATTTTTATTATATATTTTCACGTTTCCATACACTTTAATCCTTTGAAATGACTTGTAACAATATTTTCACTTTTGTTTACTTTTTTATGCTCTCCTTCCTTACTGAGGAGTTCCGGGGAGAGTATGTATTGGAGATTTTGTTCACTATTCCGTCTAAGGGAAGGAACGAAACGGAATTTTCGTATTGTTTGTTTGTTTTTCTGTTTTGTTTGTGTTCTCCATCAAGGTGGTCACCTTAATCAAGTGCGAAGTTGGCAGCTTGTGCAGTCGAAGGCATGACTTACGCCAGCAGGTACAACTCATTATGACTTGAGAGGAGGGTTAATTACCCCTTGAGTTCGAGTTCAATTGGTCAGTCTAGTCTTACAGATAATGTGCGTGTAAGCTCTACTGACTTAATTGAAATCTCGCTCTATTTACTGCACTTGTTCGTGAGGCTGGTGGCTTTGTTTATATTCTTCTCATGCACATATCAGTCAGAGATGATTCTATCGGATATACTGCTTTTACAGGCCGATTTGACGCGTGTGCAGCTATCACAAACGAAGCGAACGATGGATATAACAACCACTGCGTTTCCGGAGTCTACTCATCTGAAGGTCGTCTCGTCCAATTGCTGCAAATGCTGGGTAGTGAAGGAGTCAGCTCCTTTCATGGAGGTTTGTTAACTCATGTCCAGTAGTTTTTCCAAAATTCAATTTATTTAGCTCATCCTAAACAACGCCGCTAGCGACTGGATACCTAGACCGAGGGACTCTACCTACCAACAAATCACCTCCCTTTATCGTGCTGTTCTGCAACTGGTAAGTTCAGCATACAAGTGAAACTGACCGATGCTTTGTTTCAGATGACAGATCCACCTCGGAAGATCCAGGACTACGCCCTACGTCTCAACGGGAAGAGCGGAAGGGATGAACAATTGCAAAGCCTGCCACATGCTATAGAACAGGCCCTCATAGGTAAGGAGGACAATCTTTTTCATTAACCAATGATCGATGATTACAGACTTTGGAGAAGACGCTATGGGTCTGGGTCATGATGAATTGCGGAAGGGAAATTCGACCGACCTCGTTCGATCAAAGTAAGTTTACATTTCTCACTATTTATTCAAATTCCGTTATTGCAGATTTTATCAAGGCCTGGGAAATAGCAACGCCGAGAGGAACGAGGCGCTCGAGCAAATGACCAGGGAAAGGGAGAAATGGCGACCTTGCCTATACAGGTCGCTACAGAAAGCCCTGTAGGTTATAAGTTTATTTTGAGTTTTTCTTTCGATTAATGCTTGCTTTTTAGGAGAGACGTCCGAGCCTACACATACGATGAAGTTCACGGGAAATGGAAGCCAAGCAGTGTAAGTACGAGTACTGTTTTGCTTTTGGTTGCCATTGTTAATTTGATACGCTTCATTGTTTCAGTAGACTCATTCATTTACTTTCAGCGTCAGAAGAGAGTGTTACAGTCGATGGAAAATGCTACATCACAAACCGATCTAGCTGATTGACTGACGTCTCGAGGAGCAAGGATTCTCTTTCTATGCTGATTTGATCTTGATTGTTTTCCTGCCATGTGATTGTATTGTGATCTATTGTTTTGTGTGCCTTTCATCTTTCCATGTATTGTCGTTAATGAATATGTTTGTACTAGGTTCTTGGCGTTGTAGTTATTCGTGAAAAAAGCTTGCTTTGTGCCTTTCTTAGTAATTCCTCTACTTTTCATATCGCATTCTTTCTCAAGACATTCAATAAATGGTTGGGTGTAAACAGTGTGCTCAACAATGCAAGAAAGTTCAATAATAGCAAGAAAAACGAGAATTCCAGCTGCTGAAAGGTCTCTTTAGTGGATTTGAAACGGCCCAGCTGCGGCCGTTTATTCATCAGCCCGCATGCATGATAGCGGCCGTCATTGCAGTCGTAGCAGGCTGTTAACACGGCCAGCGTTCGTCCATCGCCAGCTCACCCGCATGGCTGGATGCGCGGGCCGCTATATGCAGCACAATATCACAGGCCCACCCGCCTGTCCAGTCGGGAGGGTCGCTGCGTCCGCTGCAGCAGTTGCTGGCCCGCGCTACCATGGCAGGGCAAGGCCAGGAACGGGTTTTCGCCCAGCCTGCCATGAGCGCGCGGGTGGCCCCAAAAATTGTCTGAGAATCTAGAACTAGGACGCGCGCGCATGCGCTGCGATGACTGCGGACGAGTGCTCCGCGAAGGGCTCGTATTTTCGAAAATCACCAACTTCTTTTGTGCGGCTCTTGCCTTATGGAATGCAAGCCAATCACGCTGATTTCAACCACACAGCTACCATCCTCTGAATGTTTGGTATTCTGAGCCCTACTTCCCAGCAGGTATGTTTATGATTTATGCGACATCTTCGAAGTCTTTTCATTTTCATGATCCATAAAAAACTCCTCATGAATCTCCTTTGAATTCCTTCGAACTTTGTTTTTTTTTGCTTTTCTTCTACTTATATCCCTTGTGTGTGCGATCCTTATAACGTCGTGCATCGTCACATCATATTGCTAATGTGAGCTGCTTGATGTTACTGAGGAAAGCCCACGTAATCAAATGTGTAACAACTCTTTATAAAGGCCAATTATAACTCAAACTGGTGATCTACGCTAATTCGTCATCAAATGCGTATTTCCTTCTGACATTTCAGTGCATCCCTGTAGGTTTCCAAGAAATTTATCATCTTAAATTTTTCATTCCTAGTAGAATTTACGAACGTGCATTTGAAATTTTTACGCTATAAAAAGCATGATGCGTGCAGCAAAGAAAAGGTCGCTACCAAAATCAATCCATGTAGATCACGCTACCAAATGAAGGTGATGCATTTTTATTTGATTGCGTTTTTGATATGGACGGTGTAAAAAAACTTTATACTCATCACAAGAAAAACGTATGCTTCCCTACTGGCATGCATGTAGTGCACATTTCAGTTGAATGTGACTAGATGATGCTGCAAGGAGGCAGACGTAGGAGAGTAAAGCATGCAATCGAACTCACAAAGACCTAGGAGAGTAGAGCATGCAATCGAACAAAAAAAAATAAGTCGAAAAAGACATCGAAAATTTCTCATAGGTCAAAAACATAATACCTTAGAAAGTGCCCGGCGATTTAAGTAGTGTGGAGTAGAGCGAATAACTTAAGTTCTTGAATTCTAGGGAATTTGGGGAATTTAGGAGCGTTCTAGAGAATTACCTCCACAATCTTGTTGTGGAGTAGGTTACCAGCGATGTGAAACTCGTCCGCCTCCGCAGCGCGTCTGCCCAGGTCAGCCGCTCGCTCCCGCGAGCTAGCCAATCACTGAGTGACCTCTAATTAGCGCTGACCTCTTATAGCCGTCGCGATTGGGGCAGGTTCAGAAGGGCCTACACCCCTCTTGGCTCAGCGTTACTTATGGCGTCCAGTCATGTATTCCCCGCCTCCACCTCCCTGTTTCTGCCGCCGGGAATTTCCAACAGCGCGGGTTTTGTGAGCCTCAAGATTCGAACTCGGGCGCGGCAGAGCGGCCGCCGCGGCGTACCTCCTGACGTGCAGCCATATGTGTCGCCGAAAAAGGGCGGTCATTTGCGACAAATATGCAACCTTGTACATGCGCGGACATGCGTTCCTGCAGAAAATCCGTGCGGGACTCTTCCACATTCGGCGACATTCTATAGAATAGTCTATAGTCTTCCACTCCTTCGCAAGGCCGTATCACAATTTGCCCCTGGTAAGGATAAGACTGAATCGAAGGGCGCTATATCGGAACTTCTGAGGCGATTCAGCTCTAGAAGCATTATTTTGCAGTTTCAGTCGCGCTATGGCTTCAATGAAACACCTGCTGCAGAATCCTTTGAGACTGAGGTTCTCCTAAATCTGCCCGGGCACTGCCCTTACGCATCCGAACTCGCGTCCTCGATCGAGATTTGCATGCAAGGCCGAATAGCGCTGCGAATGTGTAATCTCATGCGAAAAGGAGCATGCAGTTGGCAGAAACCTAATACCCGTAAGGCGCCGGGCAGACTTCACGCGATTTGATCGTCGCGACTGAATCGCGAGGAGACAACTGTTACAACATCATTCCATGCAGATCAACTTGCATTCGGTTGTGATACTTTTCCAGACCGAAATTTTTGAATGTGAAATGAAAATGAATGGAAATCTTGGCGATTTGGTCGCGACGATTAAGTCGCGTGAAGTCTGACCGGGGCCTAAAGGTTAACGGCAACTTCGAATCAAGCGGTAAACAGTGCTCCATCTCGGCATTTGGGTTTTAGGTAATGCAAGCTCAACTTCATGTAACGAAGTGACACAGTAAATAGCGAAGCAAGTTGCCTCCTTCGGCCCGGACAGACTTCCGCGATTTGATCGTCGCGACTCAATCGCCGACATTTCCATTCATTTTCATTTCACATTCAAAAATTTCGGGCTGGAAAAGTATCACAACCGAATGCAAGTTGATCGGCATGGAATGATGTTGTAACAGTTGTCTCCTCGCGATTCAGTCGCGACGATCAAATTGCGTGAAGTCTGCCTGGGGCCTTCGGCATGTCGCCGCTTACAATGGATGGAGCTTTCACGAGCAAGCAAAGTTCAGAGCACGTATCGTCGATTCGTTGACCGCATGGATCGGGCATCACTGCGGAGCACGCGTCGCGAGGTATAGTGCATTTAAGGAATCGTGACGATGGCGCGACCGCGCGCGACACGCACGCACTCCCACTTCGTAGTTTCTATCTCTAATCAAATAGTTTTTCTGCTTACATATGATACTATTGAGACATTGGAAGTGACTGAGCTGAACGTTGAGGTTATGCCTTTTTGTATGGGTGTTTTATGACCCTTTGTGCGCAAGGACCGCAGTCAACTCGTCGTCACGATTTTAAAAATGGACTATAAAACGCTTGTCGCAGTACAAAATCGCCATTGTACAAGTCTGCTCTCGCAACATGTGCCGCTCCGCGCATGGTCCGCAACGTTTGAGCAGTTCGTGCGGTCAAAGAATCGACGATACCTTTACGTTGGAATCTACAAGGAATGAATATCGACGATGCGTGGACTAGTGGCTCTTCCACACATGTTCTGCATACTGTGTGAAGACTACCGGTCTGCGGGAGCATTGCCGTACCTGGAATAACCCGTTTGTCCGCCTGTTCCGTGACCGACGATGTGCGACGCTACATAGTTTTTGCAAGCAGAGTGCTAACAAATGGGAGAGTGAAAGTCTGGGAATCCAAAAGAGAAGTCATTTTGTGCGGTACATTCCTAGTCACCATTCGCTGAGCGAGTAATTGAGAAAACATGAGTAGATGGCTGATCTTGAAATCTATAATTGCATCGTAAACAGTATTCGAACATTTTAAAGCAAATTGGCTTCAGTTTCATCATCCTCATTTCAGCATACAACTAAAAGAGCTTCACTTCTGTTATCAGGACTTTTGCGTTACCTGTGTCCAAATTAAGGACAATGTGTTGGTCTTGAGGCGAAGACGCGATGACGGTACAGTGTTCTCCGGACGCCGCACAAGCGGCTCGAAGTGTGAATGCAATGTTTTACTTCCTTTTCTTATCATTCTCCTGTCAACGCAGCCTCATAGAAGCCCTCCAGTTTTTTTAGTACGATGAGTGCGAACTCTACAGAAGACTTACAAGAAACAGAAGCTTCTCAGAAATCTTCTATACCAAGGATGTTCGATCTGATAAGTGAGCAGAATAATGAGACTACTTCAACCTCTACTGTTATGAGAAGCTTCACTTGGGACCGATTCAAGAGCAATCCAGGTATAGGCAGACGTCTATGTAGATATGAATAATGTGCTGATTAGCATTGCCATTGGAACGCTATGGCGCCACTTTCGACGAGAAATTCGCTTCCAAAAAGGGCACCTACAAGCTAAGCGAATGCTACCGTAAAGCGTACAGTCTATGTCAATCCGTTCCCTTCATTCAGGCTGCCACGCCAGCTTCGTGCCACTTTCGCGCGCGTATAGCTTGAGGATCAAATCGCCTCATCGATAAAGGTCTACAAGGCCTTCGCGTTGCCAACGCAGATCGTACTCAAAAGGGTGTAGCTCATATCCACTACTCATTCTGAGCCTAAAGGACCCACGATTCTTCGAACATGTGTGATCAGCAAGCTCGACCTTATTCATCTTTCGCACATGCTAAGGCCCTGGGCAGACTTCACGCGATTTGATCGTCGCGACTCAATCGCCAACATTTCCATTCATTTTCATTTCACATTCAAAAATTTCGGGCTGGAAAAGTATCACAACCGAAATGCAAGTTGATCGGCATGGAATGATGTTGTAACAGTTGTCTCTTCGCGATTCAGTCGCGACGATCAAATCGCGTGAAGTCTGCCCGGGGCCTAAAATGCATATCGCGTCAGAACCAGCAGTCCGTGGAGGCGGCGCCTAATGAAGGTATTCGTTCCTTTAGAACGCACTAAAAGCTTCAGGGTCCCCCTCTCTGCAATCTGTTTTAGCAGCGTTTCAACGGTATTCCGGCACAATCTCATATATAAAGAAACGTAAGCGCAATTCAAAAATCTGCAAATAGCGGGAAACCGCGCAGCGGTCCCGAAGCGCGCAGATGCAATCTGGCCTTTGATTACTGGTTCACTAGTTTCACAAATGCTGAAAGAGTTCAAAAATGGCACGATTAGCGTGAATTGTGCGTAAGAGTGCTTTGCTCTCTTTGAAAAATGGGGAGGTGGTGGGATCTTGACGGGGTGGAGGACTATATGTCGCCGAAAAAGGGCGGTCCCCGCGGTCATTTGCGACAAATACGCACCCTTGTACATGCGCGGACATGCGTTCCTGCAGAGAATCCGCGCGGGACTCTTCCAAATTCGGCGACATATAGTCCTCCACCCATCTTGACGCATTGCGGGCACGGCTCCTGACTAACACAACAGTTCAGGTCTGGAAAAGGTGCAATAGCGAAAAACTTCGGACTAGGCTGATAGGGGGCGGCTCCGACCGCACCTCCAATCGGTGGGCATCCCTCCGATCCCCCCCCCCCTCTGTATTCGCACATCCAATCGCCGTTCCGGAAAACACGCGGTTTTCTGGAACTGGGTTGTGGGGGTTTTCGCGAAGCTCGATCTCCTATGGAATCAGGGACATGAGAATGCCCCAAGAAGAACACCGAAGCCGAGAATCCGGGTAGACGGTGCCTTTGAAAGTAGTGGCTCGGCTTGAGATAGACGATGATTTGAGATATTGTTAGGGGACCTCGTTGTTGTTCCTTGATTTACAATTAATAAATTCTTCCCTAGTCGAGAATCCGTATTGGAAGTGCGCAGAGGCAATTCGGTGGGTGCATGGAGGCTGCAGTCAGGAGGTACGCCACCGCGTCCCGATCTTGGGACCCATAGAGCTCCCCATATCAGAGATTCCCGGCGGCAAAAACACGGGGTGGGGGTGGAGGCAGATACATGACTCAATGCCATAAGTAATTGCGCCTGGAGTGCTGCTATTGTATTGGTTGAAGTACGTTGCGGCGTCGCTTCGCGAAGAATTCGCGCTGATCGTACCTCCTGACCGTCCCCGTGCATGGACGACTTGCGGTCTTCCCTTTGCATTCTAACACCTCCTTTCAAGTGTTGTTTTCTTTCTTGACATGTCTGAACCTGCGGCGAAAGCTAAGGCAGAGCAGTACAGGTCATCTCCGCTGCTTCGACAACGCTCGGAGCCATTCGGAGAGGGAGGCATTGGGCCTCCGGAGTGTTCCACTTGGGTATCCGACAGTCCCCCAGATTCTACCGAAATCTGTACCCTGAAGTCCCGAAAATTAATTTCGTCCCAGGAATTGTGCACTTTCACTCTTAGCATACTGTAACTAGCTCTAATTCGCGTAATGCAGTTTGCACACAGGGGTACTGTAACTAAACGCTCAATCCACACTTCAAACTAGTTCTTTTCAAAAAAGGGAACACTACAAGACATAATATTGTTTGTTCTTACTAATAAAGTAACAAATACAAGATCTGGAAATAATACTATAAACATCGAGCAATGAATCGAGGAAATCACGGGAATAAGCGACGGGTGATTAAAGTAAAGGCTGCTGCATGACGAAGGCGCAATGGCGATATTAGTTGAACGGGCGCGAACGCGACGCGCGCGTATCCTCACCGTTGTAGATCCCTCACCTCATGCGCTCTGCGGCTACTAAAGCCGCGTTCTCGCCCGAAGATATTGCGCCTTCATCATGCAGCAGCCTATACGAGCAAATGAGAAAAGTAGGCACACAAAATAACCAAAGCTAATCAAAAATAAATGATATGAAAAAAAAGATGATCAGAAGCACTTGTTTTACAATGAGTAAAAGACTGAAAGAGGTCTAAATGAGATAAAACAGAAAATTTCACATATAAGAAACCGGTGTCATAACAAGAAATCAGCATGGGAATAATCGAAAAAAGACAATTAAAGAGGACACAGAAAGATATGAGGCAAGGATCATTCAACAACTTGGAAGAGATAAAAATAATAATTGAAGTCGGAGGCCTGGCTAATGAGGAGGCTCACATTTTTTTGGAGTGCAGAGGCATCCCTAGTGAAAAGACATAAGATGAAATAAAAATCGACGAAAATCTAGACACATAATAGCATATAATCAAGTGTAAATATCCAACTCAGCTTTGTAGATGGATTTCCAACTCCCTTGAGAGGCACTTTGCGGGGTCAAACTACCGCAACCTACTCAGACAATCGCCGGGGGAAGGTGGGCACCGGAAAAATAGATTGCTGATCTCTCGCACCCCGCTCGCGGATTTTTTGGAAAGCAATCAGGACTTTTCGGAAGACCGCTTGCTGAGTTCTCGATTCCTCAGAGATTCAGCAATATATCTGCAAAAGATAAGAGCGGAAAAAAATTCAACAGGCGGTCTCTCAAAAATCCGCTGACTCAGCAAGCGGTCTTCCGAAAAGTCCTGATTGCTTTGCAAAAAATCCGCGAGCGGGGTGCGAGAAATCAGCAATCTATTTTTCCGGTGCCCTCCTGCCCCCAGCGATTGTCTGAGTAGCTCACTACACAGCAAATCCGCATTTCTTCACGAAAAGCAACCACGTGGAAACCAGTACAAGGAGTCACAGCTACCTGTAAACAAGGAACATTGCGCTGGCACTAACCAAACCACAAATGCAGTGATGAAAAAGTTTAGGAGAGAGAAAATTGTTTTCGAACGCCTGAAGGGCTCTGATGACGCAAATACAATTTAGAGTAAGGGTTGTTTCATACGCCGCACTGACCGCAGTTGACTGCAATTGATCGCACTGGCCGCACTGACCACAGCTGATTGCACCGACCGGCCGCAGTATGTTCACGTAAAAAGAAAGAAATGTGTGGCTAAAAAGAGTGATGTCAGGACGTATGATCTTCCTAGGGGTCACTCAAGGTGTTCCGGTTGTAATCGAGATCGTCTTTTTAAGTGAACATGCTGCGGCCGTTGCATCCAGGCAGTTAGCTGAGGTGATTGCGATCAGCTGAGTCAGTGCAGTCAGTTGCGGTCAGTGCCGCAGTATGAAACAACCCTAAGCTTGCAAATGAGCTCATGATCGGAGTAGAGGACTGCAGCAAGACTCGATTTTGATGACAGATCACAAACTTACAAGGAATTAGAGATGGTTTATCTATCTGAGAGAAAGTAAAGTAGGAACGCAAGGAGAGAGAAATCCAAAAGTGTCGCGATCAAGAACCACTCCTGGAGATACAGGTATATGAAAATATAAATTAGAATATAGAAAGACTTACAAACAAAGAAATTGCTCCATGTATACATCAGTACCTTGGGTTTGACAACTCCTTGATGTGGAACGTGCGAGTGAAGCATCGTATGCTCCTTGTCCTTCAACTCCCAGGGCATACTGCCTTTCTTGAAGCAGTGCTCCTCCAAACTGGTGCTGCTTTGGTTTGCATCCGCAATGTTCTATCTGAAGAAGGAGGATTGAAAGCGACGTAAGAAACCAAGGCGCGAAAAATAATGCGAAAACGGAAGAAAAACGTGTGAAAAACGCTTCGAGGGAAGCTGAAAATGACAAAGAGCTTATTTTTGAAATTTGCCGAAGCTGCATATCAGCGTAACGGCTAATTGGCTGCGTACTAATTCCCCGGAAGTTTTGGATGCTTAGATTTCCCCGCTGCTTCTGCAATTTTCTGGGACGTCCTGGGACCACCTTTCTCAGTGCCTCGGACGTCCCAGAAGTCGTGTGCCTAATCTTTGCGACGTCATTGCGAGTGGACCGACCCAAGCCCTGCTCCTAGCAGCTCCAGTGGTTGAGAGCGCTCCCCAGAAGTCTCAGAGATTTGGAATGTCCATGGCTGCGAGTGTTTGTCTGAGTTACAGGAAACTTTTAAAGCAATTCTGAAATTATGCTGTTTGAGTCTGTCTGTTACAGCGGCAAGTCATCCATGATTGGTAAGGTACGCGTCAGATTGACCGACTACCTGCTTCAGCAGGACGGCGCAATTGAAACAATGCATGCGTTATGTTGGAAGGAAATCGAAGTGGCGTCTGCGATTTTCACAACAACAGTAGTTTTGAGGAGATGGTAAAGGCCTCGTAGATTAAGAGAAATGATAAAACGCCTCAGTATAAGAAAATTTTGCTAAAAAAACTTTGCTAAAATTTAGCGAAATCGCGGACGCGGATTTGATTTCCCCGTGACACCAAAATGACAGTAATTACTCCGCATCCTGCTGAAGCAGTTATGGCTAAGCCTATCTGAGGTTTGTACCATAGTTTCATGAAAACAAGGAGCACTTTTTGGTTT